TATATATATATATATATATGAGAACACTTTGGAATCCAATTCAGTTCCTTTTAATTTAACAGACTCCAAAAAATTTAAAAAATAATCGGCCCCTTTGGTCTCATCTTCTTTCGCCCTCATTCCCCTTTGCACTGCCAACACTGAATATCCCTGTTACAGAATTCTTTTAGAAAAATAAAGCTAAGTTAAATGTGTTTATTTTTCTTTTAAAGGGTCTTTTATGGAAAGGGTTCTCCAAAAATATTGTGGCTTCCAAACAAAATCAATCTCTAATGCCCCGGGATAGGTGTACTTCTGACTGTAATATCCACCCATGGAAAAATAAACGTTAAAGCAACATGCTATTAAGATGCTGGAACAACATGCAAGTCCCATATTATTTACTGTGCAATAAGCTGTGATTTTTATGTTTGAATCAAAACGTAATTTATTTCCAAAGTCAAAGCTCAGGTACTTCGTTCCTGGCCATGTGTCGGACCTTCCTGGCAATATTTTGCTTGTGGGCTGAAGTTCATCTATGACTTTCTTTGTATGAAAGTTAGTCTGTCCTCCGATTACACTTATATAATGTAATTTTGATGAAAAATCAGACAGACAAAGTGACACCCTGTAGTAACCAATGGGGGAACCAGAGGAGGTGAGATCTCAGGCACAGAATCCACAAAAGTCTGGTTGTTGACTAAACACTAAGGCATCAACCCAAAACCACAATGTCAATTTATGGATGGACTGACCCTTTAATCTCTATGCTGATAAAGAAACAAATGAATGCGGATGTTAATTTATGAATACATTATTAAATGTATATTTTTAAATTCAAGCAGTGTAAGTACCTGACTTTGACCTGGTATCAGCCGTCTGCAATCCCCTGTTCAGCAGAGCCCAGACTGGTAGAGAGAGAAGCAGTCAGGGGTGCTAAAGTGCTCATTTACTAACAAAGATTGTGCCGATACAAGGTGAGAGTAAAGTGACAGGGAGAAAAGCTTATCGTAAGGACTCCTTTCATTGACCATTCACAGGCTGAGGGATGGACTAGACCTCTAAATGCTACTTAAGTGCAGCAGAGAAAAATCAAGTCTTCTCTCCTGCCAGACCAGGAGTTATGATGTGTGGCAGAGCACTGTAAATGTCAAGCTGGATGGAAAGAAAACTAATCCTTTGGCAGGTAAAACATTCCCCCATCTATTTATTACAGGTATTTTATATAATGCCAACAATTTACACAGCGCTTTACATAGTGCACATTCACATCAGGCCCTCAAGGAGCTTACATTCTAAGCAGCGGCATCACAAGGGGGGTGCGGACTGAGAGCCCAACACTGTCAGGAGAGAGGAGGGGACCCGGCGGCATACCTCATCCCACCAGGTGAACAGTCCCTCCACTCTCTGCCAGCGTCCATCACCAAGATGGCCACCAGCAGGCACCAATCATGCGCGAGGTGATGTCACGATGACGACACAGCAGGGTGTCATCCACTCTAGAGACACCCGGCCTCGGGACGCCCCTGATTCTTTCTCATATGCATACATGCCAGGGCTGATTTTGATAGGAGCCAGTTAACATACCAGCATGTCTTTGGCGTGTGGGAGGAAACAGACACAAGCACAGACAAGACACAAGATAGTGACCTGGCTGGGATTCGAACTGGGGACCCTCCATGCTACAAGACTTGAAGTGCTAATTGCTACGCCACTGGCAGAAGTGCTAATTACTACGCCACTGTGCTGCCCATATGTATTTTATCCTGCATCTTAAGTGTTTGCCATGGATTTCTCTTTAAACCTATAATTTTTGCAAGAAAGGTAGTACATAAACACAGGAGGAATAGTATATTTAGGTAGAAACTGTAATAAAGTTAAAGTAACATTATGACATAATTTATAGAAACATCTGTTGCGGTGGATATTGGGCACAGTTGCTTGTTTCTACCCAGCCCAGAAGCAGAAAACACAAAACAGTTTTCTTTCAGCATGAATGAGCTAACCTTGAACTTGGCACATAGAACCATATGGATGGTGAAATCCACATCACCCACAAATCACTCATCTTACGTGCACAAAGTTTCAATTAGAACACTTGTCAACCCCAGAGATTAATACCAAGTGAGGTATCTGTCCATCAAATAAGCCAGATTTACTGCTTAAGAGCCTTACACTTCTGGGATATTAATATATGTGAACAGGGTGTGTGCTCGAAAATCCTCCCATTGTCGTGAATTAGGCAAGACTCTACCTGACACTGCAAACTTGTTGCAGTCTGAAGGCTGTCTGTCAGCTTACTTTGAAGCTCAGCCCATCCAACTGATAAATGTAACACTGTGTGCAGGGCAGGAAAATAATTACGACTGTAAATAGTAAGAGGAGTTTGTATTTTGGAACATATAAACAAAAACATGCCATGGATTGAAGAAACTTATAAGATAATGTTCGTCAAGGAAGCCATACTTACATATACATCAAGAGCTTCAGTGGTGGGACCTGATGCTGTGAATGATTCTCCTTCTTGCCCATCCCGTGTAGGTTGATTGTAGGTAAACACTGTTCCACCAGCTTCATATTTTCCTTGTGGGTCTACCGCCCAGTTACCGTTAATGATACTCTTCCCAGCTCGATTTCTCAAGGCTGAAATCAAAGTTAGACATGTCTGAGTACTTTTCTAGAAGCTGGAAGGTAATGTACAAAACATGGTTCAGAGCATAGTAATCAAAATGGGTAGTTTCTTGTTAACAGGTAGGAACATATTAGGGTCTTCTCTGTGAAGGTTCTCATTCATTCAGGTCATGGTATATCTGTAAAAAATAAGTCAAGGCAACTGGACTTGCTGTATTTTTCTTGAAGGCGTTTCACTGGACATCCGACCAGCTTTCTCAATTCAGAATGACTAGTACAAAAATTCTCTGGGAATAAATATGGTGAATTTTTGTTCAAGTCATTCTGAATTGAGAAAGCTGGTCAGATGTCCATTGAAACGTCTTCAAGAAAAATACACCAAGTCCGGTTGCCTTGACTTATTTGTTACAGATATATTAGGGTCTTGTAGAATCTTTCTCATACACCTTACTCCATGCTGGAAATCACGCTGCCTCGTCAAGGCTCCTCTGTGTAGTGTGGTTCTAACTCTAATCTATGAGACCCTTGATTTTAGAGCATACATAATAATGGATGAACTGAGTGCAGGTATGCCTGGAGGTAGTCCATTTCTCCTCCTTCTGCTTGTTGTACTCCTATACCATCCAAATTATGACCGACTGTTATATAATACAAAAACATACATTTCAAGAAGTTCTTACCCAAGTAGTTGGGACTCCAGTTAAGTTCTCGGATGCTGATCTGTGTGGCACCTTTTGGAATCTCCAGGATTTTGTGGTAGCCAATTGGAACGTTAGAGTCCTTGAACGTGCCAGTGATGAACTTACAAGTTGAGCCGTCTCCACCACAAACGCCACAGGTGTCCAAGGTGCTATTAGACCCAAGAATGCCATCACAACCGGGACTCTGCAAGATGAGAAGGCCATGGGACTTAACATAGGGATGTATCTCAACTTCTCAAGCATTGTGCAAATATCTGAATTACTACACATTACTAATCTTTTTATTTAAATGAATCTGCATTTTTTAATGTATGTAATGACAAACATTACATACATTAACAGATACAATCTCAGACATTATAACACATAATTCTGTCATAATATCTCAGAGCATTCTTAGATAGTGTCAAAGTTCTGAGATAAAAACAGAGAATGACTAACAGAATTCGGACATACTGTATTGTTTCAGAATTTACTATCTCGGAATTATCAAAGTTTTTTTTTGTCCTTTGACCCTCTTTCATACACCTTAGCGAATGGAAATCTGTATAAGTTTTATTTTGAATGATATATCCATAAGGGACAGTTTATTTTATTCTATCAGTGGCACTCATAAAAATACAAAATGATAATCTCTTTGTCTCTCTTAATCTTCCTGGTCATTCCAATCTCAACCTTTGCTCAGATAATCTGTAAACAATTCCATAAACTGTTGAGGCAATTATTGAGCTACAATTTCCAGCCAATCCAATTAACCAACACTCATATAAATGACCATTATTGGTCATGTGTGGATACCTTAAGCAGAGCCAGATAACACAATATTGTGACTTATAACGCACCCAGGAACTCACAAAGAATTTCACATCTTTATTTTATGAAAGCTTGATATTCTCCTTTTTCACTCAATGAATGAAGGGCTCTTTAGCTCCAGTGAGCATGAATAAAGCCGGTATTAAAATGTCAATAAACGTTAGACACATGCCACAAAGTACATAGAGACCGTGGTTGAAAAAAAACAGACAAGTCCATCAAGTTCAGTTCTTCTCATTCCAAGTAAGTGAAACATGACAAATGAACCATCTAATTCTACTGAAGACATCAAGAACTCTCTTTAGATCAATCAACCACCACAATGTTCCATTCTTCTGCCTCTAAATTCTTTATTTTTGATACAAACTTCTGACTCATCTCTAAAGAGAATCGGATACAAGAAACAAGAACCCAAGTTTGCATTCTGGTTTTGGAAATTATATATCATGGCACTCTTTACAATCAATTGTGACTAACTAAGACATTAATTGAATAATTTAATTTAAAACTGAACTCCATGGAGATATGAAAGATACAAATTGAAGGCAGCCCTGTATTATAAAAGTGTGCTTTTATTATTTTTTTTGCAATGGAGCCTGCAAAGCATTGCAACCATGATCAGTGGATCTCTGGTGCAATGCATAGGGTTCTGCAGATTGTTCCTCCAGACCTGACCTCCAGGTACAGACATTTGGCTATGGGGATGGAAAAATCATTTGATTACAAGTGCATGGAAGTCACAACACTTGTGCTCCATTGAGTACTATAAGCTCCTCTGCCGTGGCAGATGAAACGTGTAGTCTCACTGTGTGAGCGGATTTCAAAAATATACATGAAGCTGTGCAAAGGAGAACCCTGCAATTCAGGTAAGTGGGGAAGGGGGCAGTTTGAGTGTGGGAAACTGGGAAGTGTGGCCATGTTTTATGTTACACCCTGGATATGGGTGTAACATGAAAGATAGTGACAAGATGAATTTAGCCTGTAAATGTATGTGTTTTATATATATATATATATAT